TTATGTAGAAACACAAAATTTGCAAAACTAATTCCTTAGACTATTTTTTTGGTAATTTGGAAAGAGAGAAGTAGTCGGGATTTTAATGGGTGGAAAAGGAAATCTATAAATTAAGAACAGGTGGTTTCATTGTTTTAGATCTCTTTTACTAGGTCATAACATTTATAGGATGAAGGATTTTGGATATAGAATTGATACTTTAACTAATTTGGAAATATCTTGTATATGGGCGATACCCCCTTAGTAACTTGATTTTTTAACGCACTTTCACTTTTTACATTATGAAAAAAAAAACAGGCTGATGGAGTGAGAAAGGAAGCAGAACCTTTGTAATGAGGGGCTATCTTTGCTAGTTTATAGACAATATGGCTTGCATGAAAGCAAAAAAAAAAAAAAAAAATTAACTTAAGTATGTCTTTCCATGAGATATGGGAGAGAGTGATTTTTTAGGCATCATTTTGGGTCAAGGTGCACGGAAATTTTGCTCACTATAGTTTGCCACTTCTGCAGAATATCTTTTCCTCATTCCTTTATATCCTTTTTTCCTCTTATCTCAATAAATCTTCTTTTCCATCAAAAAAGTTATTTTATTGCTTAATAGATAAGGTCAATTGATCCTAGGTTTAGAGTTTATTTTACCAGATCAGTTTAGAACTTGTTTTAAGTCAATTTAACATTAGATTTAAGAATACCCTTCAAGTGTAAAATAGTTTGCAATCAATATAAAGTACTGCAGGTTTCAGGAAACTTTTAGAAACTTGAAATCATCTGCAGAAACTACAAGTATTCTCTAGCTGGCCACTGATGCTTCATCTTTTACAATTACTATGACTCTTTACCTTTTCAACAATATTGTATAAGTGGGAAAAATAATGCCCTCTTCCATGGCTAGTTCACCGTTCTTTGAAAAACAAAAAACAATTTTTACAAGTGGAAAGTCCTTCTCCCTACTCTCACCAACCTCTCTGCCTGTCCTCTTCACCAAAAACACCAAGCTCTCTTGTTTTTTTTAGCCAAATGCAACATGCTCTCCTTTATTTCATTAAGCTAAGTGATATTTGAGAAAGCTTCAGGTTCAAAACAAGAGTCAGCCAGGCTTTGCCAAAACATCTTGTCCATAACTGATGTCTCTTCTCTATCTACCTCTACCTCCAGAACCAGAGGCGGCAAGCCTTTGTGATTGAAGTCTTCTCTCTCTCTCTCTCTATATATATATATATATCTAAAAGACTGCATTCATGGTTTTGTTCATGATTAATTATCTTTGTTCAGCATACCAAATCATGAACCAGGACAATCCCAAGCTTTTGTACCTTGATCCAGATTGAAACGTAAGACATGCAAATTGAAAGAGTGGAGAAAAAACTAGATAAGTATAATATAAAGGGCATTAACTATCAAACATTGTAGAAAATGAAGAATGAGTACAACTTGTAATAAAAAGATGTTTTTTTCTCTAATGCTTTTACCATCTAGTCTACCTTGCTTTATCCATTTCCTAGTCTTCAATTTTTTCACCTCTATTCATTGGTCTAAGTCATCCTTGGACAAGTTGGTCCATTGACTTTTTGTACATCAGTTTTGGGGCTCCAAAAGAGAACATCTTATCATTTACCCATTAGGCCTAAGATAAATAACATGAGAAACAAATCTCAAAAGGCATCATAGAAAAACAACTCCAAGACATTTCATTACACTTGCCTTAGAACCCTCTCTCTTCAATGCCCCGGACGATCTTTCCATGACATGCCATGATCGAAGTTCATTAAGGGCATCCAAAAAAACTTGGATAGATTTTACCATTGTATTAGACTCTGTAAATATATGCTCTTGCACCTGCTTGACGAACAAAGATTGAGAAGTTTTGTAAGTGCAACCATGCATCATATAGTACTGGCTCGGACAACAACTAAATGGAAAATTTTAAGCATCCACATACCTGTGAAGAAAGTACTTGCTGAAGATCGATATTCATATCCTTCCTTCCTGCTAGATTGACAATAATACTTGAGAACAAAAGCTCAGCAACTTCAGCTTTTAGCATTACAATATCTTGAGATAATCTAGAAAAGACAAGTGAAGAAAAACAGATCAATCTAACAAAAGAAAGTTAAGCAAAATAAAACCTTGTGGAAGACAACTGAAATGTTATGCCCTAAATGTTCATTTGTACGCATGAAGCTACTACCTTATAATCACATCATCACAGTAGCTTATAAGCAAGTATCCAAGTTGGCAAATCCAGGTTTCAAAAGCTTTATCATGTGTTACCCATATAGCGGACTTCTCCAGTGAAACATCTTCAGCTGGTAAGCATTTAATAGTTGTTAAATATTCAATGTACATTTTTTAGTAGAAAAAAAGTATTACGAGATTAGAAGAGAATAATTACAAGCAAGGAGAATAAGACATCCCCCAGAAAATTAAAAACAAAATAAAAGCATTATATATTCAATATACATAATGCAATGAACTCTCAGACATAAGTAATAAACCAGCTTGTTCTTCAAGATTATTCTTAAATAAAAAGAGGGAGGAGAAGAACGCCATTTTAAAGGCAACTGGGGTACTGGGAGAGAGAGACAGAGAAACAGAGAGGGTTATTGCTCAATGTCTAGGAACTCACATGGTATTTTAAAGGCAAAAATAAGGGATAGAGTTAAATAACTCCTCTGGCTTCTCCTATTGGGCAACGGACAATACTGGAAATGCTGAATTCAAATTGGGGCACTAAAGAACCATTGAAAAATATTTTTGGGAGTAACATGTGAAGGCGACATAGAAGTAAACTTCAAGAATATAGTAGAGCTCTACCTTTAAACTTCTTGTGCAGATCAAACAAGAATTTCTCCACAACCTCAATGTTAAGGCCCTTAGAATGAACCTATTAGAAAAGAAGATACTGATGTGATGTTTCAAAAAAAAAAGTTACCATGACAATAATAATCCTACTTTTAAGCAATCTACTTTGACTATGGACTTTCAATAGGAAGCCTAAAGACAAGCTTTTTGGTGCTTCGTCAACAATGAGATCCCATGTCAATGGTGAGAACTTCGACTTTCCCATAGCAAATTCTCATATTAAATTGTAACCAAACAGCTTCTGCTTCTTCCATTTAAAATTCTAACTCTCTATGCCTAAAATTATTTTTTGAAATAAAAGCAAAAGTTTCCTAACTAAATTGTGACGAAAAAATATTTAAAATTAAAACACAATATTGACCATAATTCAGTAACTAAGTTAGGTCTTGCTCTTACTGTTTTGTATTTAAGTTACTTAAGTTATTTATATTTACTCAGGCACTACAGTATTTCAGACTTCCTCTTTTTACGATTTTCCTTATTAGTTCTACTTAACAACTATACAAAGATTAATAGGCACTAACAAACAAAGTAGACCATGATTAAATAAGAGTTTCATGTTACGGTTTCATTCACTGTAATGTCTCCATATGTTCTTTCTTTTGATTGTTGCTTAACCTAACTTAAATCGTTCAATCTATTTCTCCATATATTTCTTCATTTTAATCTCTATTTTTAGCTTATCCTTATTCTTCTGTCTCTCACCTAAATTTTTTCTTATTTTACACTATTGCTAGATAAATTAGCTTAACCACTACTCGTCCTATAGTAGTTAGTATCAGAGCCTAATATCTACTATTTAAAAAAGAAAAAGAGAAAAAAAAACAACTGTTCCATGCAACCACAAAATAAAGAACCTTGTTCCTAACAAGAAATTTCATTCCCCAAGCCGCCCCCCCAATCAGAAGAAAATAGAGAAAGCAAAATTCCCAGCACCCCAGTGACTGTACTCACCATCAGCCACCATCAAGAGGTAACTATACTAACCTTGAAATCAAGTTCAAAGAGGTCCAATCGGCCTCACCGCAAATGTTTAGTCACCTAAAACCGTTTCACTTGCCATTGGGTAAGAAGATAACCACTGGCTTGCTGTAACTTTGTCACCCGGTCCATCAAGGCAACAACTATTGACTATTTGATGTGAGCACGAACCATGGAGACCATGAAGAGATGCACGGTTAAAGGAACATAAGTGGCAGCCAAGCCCAAAACCAAGAGGAGGTTGTTGGCCAAGAGAAGACAAGTTGTGGCCAAGAGAGTTCTACCCGCAACAAAGCCAATACAATGGAGATGATGGCGGTCAAGGAATATTCAAGGGGACTTGCACACTTTGGATGGATTTGGTTCACTTGGGAAAAGTATTACGATGCCAAATGCGCACATTACAAGAGAAAGAGCAAAAAGATTACAACAAACCTTTCAACTTTCATCCAAGAATGGGTCAATAAGGAAGATGGGATTGGATCAAGTGAAGAAGCCCACAAGAAGAAGAAAGTAAGTCCATTAACCCAAGGGCATAATGGTATTTACATATCAATCCAGCTAAAAGAAGGAAATAAGCAAGAAAAAGAAAATGAATTTTCCCATAAGGGAGGAATCCCCCAAATTGTGAGGGAAATTTCCCACGGGATTTCTTCCCTTAATTCTGCAGGAAATCTTCCCCCTTAAAGGAGAAACAGCCAAAGGGGGAAATTGGCTCCTAAAATCGCAGGGCATCTTGGAAAAAAAGGAACTCTTAAGGTACCAAATCCTGCAGAAAAGGAAAGCTTTGGGCGGCCATATTGCTCCTTTAATGGTCGGCCCTAAATTTCCGTCTTTTCTTCCCCTAACTCTTTTAAATTAATTAAGATTTCTACAAGGGGAGATCATATCTAGCTTTTTTTGGTCAAGTTCTTCTTAATTTTTATTATTTTCTCATTCAAAACAAGATTTAATTTTTTATGCAATTTATACAATTAATTTAGTAGATTTATTTTCTTTTAATGGATATGACCTACTCTATAAATAGGCATTTAATTTATAGTTAAACTAATTCAAGTTTAAGATAATAAAACTACAAAGTTTATTTACAACAAGTGAGGTATTCTTCAATCTTCTTGTTGAGTAAGGAATTGGATCAACTAATCAAGTTATTTTTTTGGCCTTTTTTTAATTTTTTCAATTACCTTAGCTTCTATCATTTAATTATAGTAGGTTAAGTAAAGAGGGTTTATCTAAGATTTAAGTTTTTGATGTTATTTGAGTATTATGTGAGTTTTAGATTGCATTGTTGATCCTGAATTCTGCATCACTATCTATAGCAATCGTAATTAAAAGAAACAATAGTTGGAAGCCTGAGCCCCATAGTTTACTAGAGATCGATCACATGGTGCTCAGGCGCCTTGAACCATGAGTGGACTTTGTCTTTTGCTACTCAGAATTCACTCTTCACCTTTTAATTGACAATCCTATTTGATAAATTCAATTTCAAGTCAATATGGGACGAATTTTCCTTCGGCTCACAAATGATCCTAAGGTTTTCAACCATCTTCTTCCCATTTTTAAGATCATGTCCGTCAAATTCACACTTACAGTCACTTTCATAGTAGATAAACTTTAGCTTGACATGAAATCTAAAAAATTAGTTGTGACAATTAATCGTATAATCTTCCCAATTATGATATTATGTACGAAGTTTTTGGCTCCTATAGATAAACAAAGAGTATTGGGATTCAACTGCAATTAATTCTAACCAATTCAACACATTGAAAATGTTGTCCATGACAAAAATTATCTTAATTATTGTTGCAAACATTAAAAATTGTATAAGTTAAATATTAATTATGATAGTAAGAGTAGGACTAACGCTTCCTATGTGTTAGAAGATGAAAAACTTGAAGTTACTTTTGAATCACTAGTTGTAGCTCAAGAGATATTGGCTCCTATAAAAGTTGCTTATGTTCGTGTTAATAATATTGCGCCACTTACTCCTTTCAATAACTTTATTCTACCTCTCGCTACAACAAAAGTGGTCTACATCCATGATGGTTACATTAAAGAGTTTTCATTGGATGACTTCATTTGCCAAATTGATTTATGATCCTAAGAGACATGTTTTTGGTTGACTTTCAAATTTCTTATGGAAATTTTCAATAGCCTCGACTGTTTGAAGAATTTAAAGAGTACGTTCACACTATTCCATCATGATATTTTGCTACTTCAAAAGTCGAGGTCGAACTTTGATGAAGGTAGAAAGATGCAGAACAAGAAAT